TTTCTAGTCTTGATAGATTTCCAACGCGTCTATGCGGCCTTGTGGGTGATGAAATATCGACCACTCTACAACCCTTTCTCCCACAGATGCAACGACACAAAACTATCGCTACTTCATAGCTATTGCCATGGTAAAATGTTCAGGCGAGTGAAATCTCTTAGTTCCATCCTCATATTCCATTAGAAAGAAAGAAGTTCCACTCAAACAACTGCTTCCCAAGAATTTCTACTTTGTGGAACAGACTTAGCGAGAGGAGGCTTCCCCGATCGATCCAAACATAATCCATCCTCATAAACTGCAGTATTTAATTCTTTCTCTTATGGTTATACAATAATCTAATTCAGTAACTTTCTAAGATGGGGCTTCTATAGTGTGAACAACATATATATATATATATATATATATATATATATATATATGAAAAAAAATATACGGAAAAAACAAACAAAAATCCTAATATGCAATTATGCTGTTTTAATGTTAATATAATGTCAACGTCGGACGTTTCGGTCTAATAGACCATCTTCAGGACATATTCATAAAACATAATTAACATTAGACTATATTCAATTCAACATGATATATATATATTATAATAATAATAATAAGAAGAAAGAACAGTAAGATAAATAATCAGGTGTTCTTATTGATACTTTTTATTTTTACAAAACAGTACTCAATGTAAATTTACAGAGCATAAATATTAGAAATTAACTGATTTTATCTGATTTAAATTTAACTGATTTTTGAAACATGATAAAATTTGTTTGAAGATGAAACAGAGGTAATGCTTTTAATTTAATTATATAATTAAATTTGAAGTTTTTAGCTTCGGTTTTTGAAACATGGCAAATTCCTGTGTAGCGAAGAAACCTTATTTTAAATCAGTTAATTTCTAATATATATATATATATATATATATATATATATATATATATATATATATATATAATGGACGCTCCCGCCTGTTTCGACGTAAGCGGATTTGACAACAATCAAATGATTCAGTCATGAATTTTGTGCGATAATGTGCAATGTGCGATGTGGTACTTAAGACCCGGAAGTGATTTGCAAAGGAGGCTACATATGTAGTACGAGTGAGAATTGTGGGATGAGGTCACTGTTAGATTGGCTGACCTTTTAGATCTTACTCTCACTTCTTGAAGACGATTCAGACTAACAGATTGAAAACTGCTGTGTTCTCTAAAACACGCTGATCTCCACTCTACCCGCTCCAAGGCTAAATGCTCAAGGGTGTTATGTGTTATATTGACAGCTGACAGCTGACAAGTTGTTCTTCATCTTGTCTTTTTATCTCAGCCATGGACGTCCTACATTCATTTAGCCCTGATCTAACTGGCTGTACATTAGGATCTTTGGTATCCTGTCATCAGAGAGTCTCAAGGCATGACCAGGATTAATACAAATATAAAATTTGTCACTGAGCTGAGCGATGTCATATCCCGCACCACGACTTCAGAGTTTCGTAGACAAAACTTTTTTATAATCGCTCGGCCCACTCGTCAGTAGGTATCAGCAATTGTCTGCCGTTTTTTTCTCATTTTCGTTTTTTATATTACGTTAGAAAAATAATAACTGGTGTTAAGTTTGTGTGTGTATGTGTGTGTGTGTGTGTGTGTGTGTACACCTGTACGTGTGTGTATGGGCACATGTATAGAATATCGTAGTTATTTCTTCTCTTCGTAATTGTTTTGTCTCCTTATAATCTCTCACTATTTCCTTTTCTTTGTTTATGTATCCTTCGACTCATACTTACACACACACACACACACACACATATATATATATGTATATGTGTAAATATATATATATATATATATATATATATATATATATATATATATATAATTATTTATATATTATATGCAGTACTTATTAGAAAGCGCTCAATATCAGAGATAGAGATAACATATTTGGTTGGATTGATGTGAGTTTGTGACCCTGGGTTTAACGCTTTTGCGATCGTCAGACAAACTGATTAATTTTTTTTTTAATTTTGGGTTTATGTAGATTGCGTCTATTGGTGTTATTATGGGAGGCGGATGAGGAGAAATCGTTGTTGTGATGTCACTCATGCTAACGCAAACATAGATGCATGTCCGTACACCCGATGAGGTACGCAGACACACATACACACTTGCTCGTCCGCTGGGGCTCATACAGACATAAACATATGTGGACAGTATGAGATTTGTGTTGTGTCTATACATACACATGTGTGTGTGTGTGTGTGTGTGTGTGTGTGTGTGTGTGTGTGTGTGTGTGTGTGTGTGTGTGTGTGTCTCAAATGGTCTGAAGATTGCGTTAAAGCATAAAAATGATGGTCACCACTTGGTGTTGATGTGAGTATCCACTTTATATATATATATATATATATATATATATATATATATATGAATATATATATATGAATGAAAGGAAAGACACCTCATCGAAGAATAATAAATTTATTTCGACAGATAAGTTTTTAATATCTGCCTCATCAAACCGAAATTGCAAAATGGTTTAAATTTATCCAGACAATATATTACACCCAAACAGAAGAGGAAATAAATGTCTAAATTACTTGACCGAGAAAACTTTTCTGTGTATTTATATTATTGAAGAGAAAAGTGAGGAAATTAAAAAAATGAGAAGCAAGGTGTCAGCGCAATGTGCAGGGCTTGGAGGGGGGAGTACAAGTGACAGTGAAATACATTAAAATTAAATCAAAATTTGTATCATCATCATCTAATTTACGTCAGTATAATAACAATCCTCATCCTATTATTATTATTATTATTATTTTATTGGATTATCCTTACTATTTACGGATTTGATATTATCTCTCTATATATATGTCATGCCAGACGTACCTATTCTATTATTAATAGACTCTCCCACACATAATAAGTAGTAGTAGTAGTAGTAGCGGTCGCCAGTTGGGCTCAGTGGTGTTGAGCGAGTCAGACGATATCGGATATTGAAGTACCAACCCTCAAAACTAGATTGCTGCGTCATTAACTCTTATTTCCAAGTTCCTGACGTTTTGTACGTCGAACCGAATTTAGGACGACTTATTGAAATGCAAACCTCCACTGTGAAAACTACTCTACAACACTATATATATATATATATATGCGTGTGTGTGTGTGTGTGTGTGTGTGTGTGTGTGTGTGTGTGTGTGTGTGTGTTTCGGGGTGGGGTGTATGTGTGTGTATATATACAGGTAATGATCTGTTGGTATATAATTCAAGTGAATCCTATTAATATAATATAAAATATTAAACATTAAAACTGATTCACATAGAGCGCTCAATGTTTGATTTAAACAGAGCATATAAATTAGATACAATAAGAATTAAGAATATATATCGATTATGATCATATCACCCTGCAAATTAAGATAACTTGCAAGGATTTTCAAACCGGTCATGTTAATAAAAAAATAAAAGGAAACTTAATCTTAATTTGCAGGGTGATATAATCATAACCAATATGTAATCTTAATTCTTACTGCAATATAATAATATATATATATATATATATATATATATATATATATATATATATATATATATACCTTAAGTGACGCGCAATAGGGCGATTTTTAAGCTAGCTCCTGCGGACGACTATTGATTGGGCTTTCATCACAATAGGTAGGGAGGAGTAGATGTGATAGGCAACCATAAATTACAGAACTCAAAATTGATTGCTGCATCTAAGTATTGCATTAATATTTAAAGTTAACTTTTAAAAGTTCAACGATAATTCTTCTGCAACCACTTAATTTAAAGACAATTTGATGTACGTAGGTCCTTACTTTCCGTTCAAACCATTACTTTCATTTAATGGGTGACTTTCACTGGATTTCACAGTTAGTTTTGATTATTCCCTAATCGATTTCCAAGTTATAAAAATTGTTACCGCACAAAAGATTCGTCGCAAATGTTCATGTAAAAAAATCAAAAAATCACCGAAAGCAATAACAATAACGAAAACTTGGGAACCGGAATGTTTTTTAATTTGCTCACGGGTTCAGCCTGATTCCAAAATGCTATGATATGTTGGGCTACGGCTTCTAGTTAAATTTGAAAACACGGATAGTTTTATCTTGAATCATTTATTTGAGAACAGAAATTTGCTCATTTGAACATGAGCTATTGAAAGTTAGAGAGTTGTGTCCCTTTAATTGTTTTATCAGTAGAAGCCAAGATGACGGAATCCGAAAAACAATGGCAGTAATGAAAACTTGAAAATCCGAATTTATATATATATTGTGTATTTGGGCAGCAATCCTTCATTTATGCATGTTTCATTAAAAACGACAGACAAGGTACTACGGTTAAGCTTTTAAAAAAATTACGATTAAAATTTTTTTTTTAAATAATGGAAGCCCTAATAATAAAAAAGAAAAAGGAAACACTTAACAATATTAACTACGAAGACGGCTACAACATTCTGTGTTCGGAAAATAAATATCTTTATTACACTAAAAACATACACACAACGAACACACTCAATTAAACTAAAAAAATCATCCTTGATAATGGGTAAAAGTATAGAAAGCGCTCGGAATTATAGAATATTTGTACAGTTTCTACACACTGTGTCCAAAAGAGAAACACTTGTTCGAACACAAGAAAAATTAAATAAAAAGCTTAATCGTAGTCCCTTGTTTTTCGTTTTTAATGAAACATATATATATATATATATATATATATATATATATATATGCTTCTGCTTATCACACGAGATTAAGAGGTACTACCCTGTTTGGCCAAAATTCAGTCCCTTGGGGATGGAACTGGAGCGACCTCACCAGGTTTCTGACTGGACGATGGTTTATGGGGGCTGTGCGCTGGCGAGACTATATGACCCACCTCTCGTCCTTAACGACAAGATCCAAAGAAATAGAAGAAAATTGGCGGCAGGAGTTAACAGAAAGTTGTCAGTGTTGAGAGCTAACTGCCTTCGGGGATCCATCCCGGGTTGTCTTTTTAAGTTATCCTTAAAAAGGCTAATAGATAGATAGATAGATAGATAGATAGATAGATAGATAGATAGATAGATAGATAAATCATGAAGAGATTGAGATAGATAGATAGATAGATAGATAGATAGATAGATAGATAGATAGATAGATCATGAAGAGACTGAGATAGATAGATAGATAGATAGATAGATAGATAGATAGATAGATAGATAGAAAGAAAGAAAGAAAGAAATAGAGAGAGAGATGGAGGGCACTTGCATAACTACGAAGCGTTATCTGACATTTAAAAACTCTAATTAACTCTTATATAAAGTTACTATATATTGTGTAACATTAATGACTCGACCTCTTGTTTCTGTTCCGCTTTGTATTATTGCGTAATTCATTTGTTTTTATTTTTACCAATAATAAAATCCCCGGGGACACTAGATTTATTGACGTCTAACTATAGACGTCTGTGATAAAGAAAAAAATGTTGTCCGTGAAAAGACGACGTCTAAGGATATTGGTTGGAATGTCAAATGTCGCAAGAAAGTATTTCATTCTTCGAAGCTGATGCTACATTCACGGTCAGAGAGATTTTGGCCGTGAATCTCTGAGAGAAAATAACAAAGACGGGGACGACAGGGTGAATAAGAGACAATGAAGATGAATTGTTTCAGAATACAATATAAGAGAAGATTATTGCAAGGGAAGAAAAGCAGATAATTCATAATATGAAAGAAAGAAAGAAAGAAAGAAAGGAAGAAAGAAAGAAAGAAAGAAAGAAAGAAAGAAAGGAAGAAAGAAAGAAAGAAAGAAAGAAAGAAAGGAAGACGTAGAATGTAAGTAAAACTGATAAAGAAAGAAAGAAAGAAAGAAAGAAAAAAAAAAGAAAGAAAGAAAAGAAAAAAAGAAAGATGTAAAATGTAAGAAAAACGGATAAAGAAAGAAAGAATTAAAGAAAGAAACTAAGAAAGAATTAAAGAAAGAAAGAAAGAAAGAAAGAAAGAAAGGAAGGAAGGCGTAGAATGTAAGTAAAAACTGATAAAGTTGAAAGAAAGAAAGATGTAAAATGTAAGAAAAACGGATAAAGAAAGAAAGAATTAAAGAAAGAAAGAAAGAAAGAAAGAAAGAAAGAAAGAAAGAAAGAAAGAAAGAAAGAAAGAAAAAACGTAGAAAGGAAGAAAAATGGATAAAGTTGAAAGAAAGAATGAATGAAGGAAATAAGACAGAAAGAAGGAAAGAAAGCAGATTTTCGAAAGAAAGAAAGAAAGAAGTTTATGAAGAAAGAAAAAACGTTTTCTGAAGAAAGAAAGAAACAAACAAACAAACAAACAAAAGAGCAGGTTTTCTGAAGACAAAGAAATAACATATGAAGCAAGAAAAAATAGATAAGAAGAAAAGAAAGAAAGAAAGAAAGAAAGATATCTTAATTTTGGTAAAATTTATGGAATTTTTCTTAATATACTGATCGTATTTTTCTGTTTTGCTTCACATGGCATAAGGCTAATAATCGAGTTCTTTCTGTTATGCAAATAACGGCCCTTAATTCAAATGATGGCTTGCTTCACAAATGTTAGTCTGACCGTGAAACATCAACGTCATGACGCCAATAAAGTGTTTGTTTTTTGGGGTGTTTTCTCTTATTCTGACTGTCTCTAAAATTCGTGACTCCGAAAAGTGAATATTCTGAATAAACTTTCTAATTCAAATACAAATTTATCGAGATGTCTTCATTCATTGACTTACTTGAGCAGTTTATGCTTAGAAGGTTCATATAGAAACCAATTTAAAAATATTTGCCCATTTCTATTATAGGAAAATAGGCGAAGTAGATTGCTTGCATAGGTTAATAAAATCTAAAGTGTATTGAATAGTTGACACTAAAGGCCTTTGTGTGCGTTTTGGTTATAAATATTTATGGTTTAATAATAAAATATATGGAAAGAGGAAGGAAGATTATTGTGTCGTCTGACTTGTTTCAATATGAAAGTCATCTTTCATATATTTCTTCTTTTCATTTTTTTCTTTTCTTTCTTTAGAAAGAAAATTCTTTCTGTTTCCTTAATTATTTTCTTTGTCCTTTCTTTCCGTTTTTCTATATTCGGAGAACGTTATCTATTGCACGCGTTTTTCCTTCAAACTCTCGAACTCTCCCCTCGTTGCTTTCTCTCTCTATCTCTTCCCTCTCTCTCTCTCTCTCTCTCTCTCTCTCTCTCTCTCTCTCTCTCTCTCTCTCTCTCTCTCCGCGAAAAATCCTCACTGTCTTTTTCATAGTATTCTTTATTCATTCTACGCTCTGGCACCTAGGTTTTTTTTTTTTTTTTTTTTTTTTTTTTTTTTTTTGGGGGGTTTCTTTTTTTGTTGTTGTTTTTTTTTTAAATTTAAGCGCGGCACTAGACTGGCGCCGAGATCACATCAATTTACAGTTGAGCTGGCGAGATGTAGCCGTAAATTCTATGCTAACAATTTTCTCGTACTTCTCGCTTGTGGAACTCCTCTCCGGCTCCTTGTTCTTCAGCCAGTTTGTTTGTTTGTTTTGTTTTACGGCATATCAACCCCAATGGGTCATTTAATGCCGACAACATTTTTCCTGGTAATATTTTTGTTTTGTCAAAAACTATTTCTGGTAATATTTTTTTTCCCTAAAAATGCACAGCTGGTAATATTATTTTTTTAAAATATATTGCTGGTAATATTTTTAAAAAAAATAAAAAAATAAAATAAAAACGTATTGCTGGCAATAGTTTTTTTTTTTTTTTTTTTTTTTTTCAAAAATTTATTTCTGGTAATATTTTTTTTTTACAAAGTATTTCTGGTATTAAAACCTATTTTTACACTTTCATAAAGCTTTTTACGTCAGTTTCGGGGTTAACTATTTGCCCATAGCTGGGACCCTAACAGGTGCTACCACCCCGGGTCAAGGTGGAACTGAGAACACCAGCAATTAAGAGATGGTTCCACGCTCCTCAAAACCTCCTGATCAGAGGCCTTGCTGTTGTTGGACGTAGTTTATCGTCTTACCCAGGATGCTGGATGTAGTTTATCGTCTTACCCAACACGCGGACAGGTTTGTGGGTTAACTATTTGCCCATAGCTAGGACCCTAACAGGTGCTACCACCCCGGGTCAGGGTGACCCTGGGAACACCAGCAATTAAGAGGTGGTTCCACGCTCCTCGAAACCTTCTGATTAGAGGCCTTGCTGTTGGACTTAGTTTATCATCTTACCCTGGACGCGGATGTTGTGTTTTTCTAGCCAGCTTTAATTTTCAAAAATTTAAATGCAATGTCAGTCACTATCTCCTGTCCACCTGATTACTCTTTTCTCTTTCTGCTCGTTATTAATGTTTCTGTTCCTAATTCTTCCATGTCATGTAACCCCTTGTGTTTTAGCGCCATTGATGCCTTTGTCGGTGGTGATTCCGATAAAAAAGGAAAAACAAATCCTTAGCATCTACTTTTCTCTTTAATCTTTATGCAATTGGTCCTGATCTGGCATCTTGTCTGCAGTCGCTCTCTCACAGACGTGCCGTCGCCTTTCTCTGTCTTTTTTACAAATACTTTCATGGTAATTGCTCCGATGAGCTGCTTTCGCTGGTTTCCAGGCTTCATGAATTCAAGCGTCCTACGAGGTTGGCATCCCGCTCTCACCCTTTCACTGTTGAAACTGTGAAATGTAGCCGTCTCTTCTACTCCAATAGCTTCATACCTCGCACCTCTCGCCTGTGGAACACCCTTCCCTATTACTGTTTCCCTGATAGCTATAATCTCCAACTATCCAAATGTAATGTCAATCGACATCTCCAGATGCCCTGATCTATCCCCTATCCTTCTCTTCATCCTTTCCTCTATCACTCCTATCTGTTCTCCCTCCAAATCCTATGTAATCCCTTGGGTGCTAGTGGCTTCCGGCCTTGCTTGGGGTGAAATGCTTACAAAAAAAATCTTACGCCCGCGTTCCATTGAAACACAGGTTCCCATAATACCACCGGAGTTAAGCAACGTCGAGCCTGGTCAGTACCTAGATGGGACACCGCTTGTGTAGTACCAGGTGCTGTAAGCTTTGCGGGTGGTGTAATGGATAACATCCCGGAAATGTTTATCGGAGAGCCGAGTTCTAATTCCTGTTGGATTTGTTATATTCCTTAACGAGCAAATGCCCTGGGGAAAGGGAATGAATTTACCGCTTCTTCGCCCCAGCTATGGGTTAAATAGTAAGACTTATATTGCTAAATGATTACTACCACCAAAAAAATTCTTACTGCCTAAAAAGTATTTTCTGACTTTAAATAACCAACAAAAGGTTGATAAACCGTAAAAATCGAATCATATGTTCTTTTCATGCATTTACAAAAATTCCTTAATCACGGTATCAACTTGTTTTGTCTATCCCATAATTCTGTTTTTCCTTCTTTACTTTTTCTTTTATATATATATATATATATATATATATATATATATATATATATAAGTGATGAAGAACTTGGTAATCCGTATGAGTAATCCCAAGGAGGATGAAATCCTGAGAGCTCAATGTAAATCCAGAGCTAATATTTAAAAGAAAAACAGACGACTTTAAGGTACCATTATAATAATTTATTTCACCAGAGCCCTTTTAAAGGACGCCGGATCATCAGATAGCACTTCTAAAAATGAAATGAAACGAAAAATGAAATTAAAATTGATGGGTAGTGTAAGTTTTTGTAATTTAACAGAGAGTGTAAGAGGGATAGTTAAAGAGACATGGTAGAGTATAGGGAGGGATTAATTTCATATCTCTCTCAAGTATACTTTGTATTGGGGGAGGAGGAGGACAGACCTTGACCTATTTAGATGGTTAACTTAACTTTAATTAATTTATATATATATATATATATATATATATATATATATATATATATATATATATATATGAAAATTCTTTTGTTCTTTCATTCGTTATTCATTTTCTTTTTATTTTCGTTTATTTCCTACACTATTCTTTTCTATCTTTACAGATTTCATTTTCAGATTTAATCTATTTTCTCCTACTTTTTCTTTCCTTCTTTCTTTTCTCTCTTATTTCTTCTGTTTTTTTTTTTTGTTTTTTTGACTCCATTTTTTTCATGGTTCGTCTTAACTTTCCTTCATTTATTCTTCATTTATTTTTCGTTCATTCAACCATTTCTTTTCGAACGAAAAATAAATGAAGAATAAATATTCTTCATTTATTTTTCGTTCATTCAACCGTTTCTTGTCTTTTTACTTAAATTAATTTTGGCGCCAACTCTTACGTTTTTCTTCGTTTTTTGATTTTACTTTTTGCTTGCAAGTTTTTCTTTTCTTTTTTTTTTTTTCCCAATTTCATTTCATTTTTCCTTATTTGTTAATTCTTTAGCTTCATCCCAAATCTTTCTAAATATATATTACATTCTTTCCTCCTTTTTTTCTTTTTTAGGATTTCTTCTCTTTTCTTTTCCATCTCTCGCTTTCTCTTACACTCCCCTTCTATCCTTTTCTCCCTCTCTCTCTATATATATCTATCTATCTCTCTCGTTGTTTCTCTCTTTCTTCATTTACTAACAATCTATTCTTTTTTTCTCTATAATTTTCTTTATTCAGTATTTCTTTAAACGCATTATGTTTTTGTTTTTTTGTTTTTCTTCGGCCTTTTTTGTTTCTTCTAACCTTTCTTTCTTTGTTTGCTTATTTATTTCCTTCTTTCCCTCCTTCTTTCTTTCTTTCTTTCTTTCTTTCTTTCTTTTTTTCTTTCTTTCTTTTTTCTTTTCTTTCTTTCCTTCTTTCTTTATTTGGAGAATGCTATCTCCCTACTTTTAGTCCACACATTTTTTTTCTTTCAGCTATTCTCTCTCTCTCTCTCTCTCTCTCTCTCTCTCTCTCTCTCTCTCTCTCTCTCTCTCTCTCTCAATCCTCTCTCTATCTCTCTCTATCTCTCTCTTTCACTCACTCTCTCTTTCTCTCTTCCTCTCTCTTTCTTTTCGGAATTTCATTACTGCTTTACTCATAATTTTCTTCATTTATTCTTCAATATCTAATTTTTCTTTCATACATTCATTATCTATTTAATTTATTCATTCTTAGTTTCTCGTTCTTCCTACCTTTTTCTTTTTTATTCATTTTTTTGTGTCTTTTCTTTATCCATTTATTTATTTATTTGTTTTTCTTCTTTGGCTCGCTTTCTTTCTTTCTTTTTTTTTTTTTTTGATTTTTTTCCTCTCTTCCTGTACTTCCATTCATCTCAAATCGTCTCTCACCCCCTAAAACTGACCATTAATCCTCGACGCCACCCCACCCCAACCCCCAACAACAACAACAACAAAAACTAACATCTTCGCAGATTTGCGGATTTCTTGCTTCAGCCTCGCCTTTTAATTATTCTTTGGGAGATTTTCTTAAAAAGACATCTAATCTGTTTATCTCTGCGTCATTTTTTTTTCTTTCTCGCGAAATCTATTCATGCCTTTTTCCGCTGCCATTTTCTCTTTTACCTTCGAGTAGCGTGCAGATAATGACGTCAGCAGACCGGTCACGTGCGGTGGCCACATCCCAAAAGATGTACAGAATAACCAAATGAAGAAAGAAAGAAAGAAAGAAAGAAAGAAAGAAAGAAAGAAAGAAAGAAATGAGATAGATAGATAGATAGATAGATAGATAGATAGATAACGAACAGAATGAGATAGATAGATAGATAGATAGATAGATAGATAGATAGATAGATAGATAGATCCTGTAGGTTTTCATTATTTTACAAGAAGGTTACTGTAATGTCCGATAGTGTAGCCGCAAGAACTCGTCTGCTGCATGAACTGGGCCGAAGCACTGCCTATCAAATAAGTCAAATTTCGAAATACTGACCATTTGTTGTAATTCCATGACACTTCCCGATGTAGGTGATCATGGCTCTTCATGGATAACTTTTCCTTTATTCTATCTGAATTATCATGACTTTTTGAGTGGAGTCGCTTTCCGTTGCCTTCTTCGCGGTTTTGAATTCAAAGTTGTCCTCCTCATAGGTCACACACCACTTAAGGTTGGAGATCTAAGTCTACCCAGCAATTTAACCCATAGCTGGGGGTAGGAGAGATGAATTCATGCTTTTCTCAAGAGCATTAGTGCGAAAGTCAGCGCATCAGAATAGATCGTAACTTGAACTCGGTTCGCCGATTCTACATCCGGCGCCGATAACCGTTAGGCTACAGGCAAATCTTCTCGGTATTTACCTGAGTTAAAACGCTACTGCTGGACCTATTATTATTATTATTATTATTATTATTATTATTATTATTATTATTATTTGTGTATGTTATGTTTCCTGTAGAGACGGGTCCAAACTATAGTCCTCCGACCCTATAGGAGAATTGTCATTTAATTGATAGCATTTTTCTTAGTTTCTAGGATGTTCCTAGTAGGGCGATCTTCTGGGCAACTTGTATGTTGATGTTACTTGGGATACTGTTAGTAAAATTGTCCATTCCTTTTCTCATGAGGCCCAGAGTTCTGGTTACTATCGGTACAGTCTCAGTCTTTATTCCCCACATCCTGTTAATCTCGATCTACAGGTCCTTGTATTTGGACAATTTCTCGATAATTTTCATGCAGGTTTTTCTCCCAGATGGTATGTCTATGTCAATAAGCATACAGTTCCTGAATTTCTTGTCTTTTATGATAATATCATGTTTGTTGGCTTTTATTTCCCTGTCAGTTTGAATTGGCATATCCCAGAGGATAGTTACATCGTTATTTTGGGTAACTGTGCCTGGTTGGTGCTCATACCATCTCTCAGTAGTTTTGATTTTGTGCTTCTTGCATATATCATTATTATTATTATTATTAACTACGTACAGTATTTGGCTTCTACCCAAGATCTCACGTTATTAGTTCTTTACATTAAGTCTATTTCTCTTCAGACACAATGCACCTTTCGCAAGAAGTTGACAGTTTCTAAAAATGACGACTTCTGCAGAGTTGAAATATGGAACTTAATTCCAATTATTCCCAGATCTGAAAATGGAACGTAACGTACGAATAATGATGGGGACTATGGCAGTGCCCATATCCTCCAAAAGTGCCACGGCAGAGCGGCGAACTGTAGGTTTACTAAGTTCCTCATTTATTATTATTATTATTATTATTATTATTTGATGGCTGTTTCCTAGTATGATTATCTGCTAGGAGGAGTAGCCTATTCCTGAAGCACATTTGTGTTTATTCAATACTTACGGAGTGGTTTATACTGCAACTAATCCTGAGCAGACTTTAGTTATATTTTCTGAGAGAGAGAGAGAGAGAGAGAGAGTGTGTGTGTGTGTGTGTGTGTGTGTGTGTGTGTGTGTGTGTGTACAATATGGCGTGATCAAGTTCAGTACGCTCAAAGCCTCGGTCACGATGACTTGTGACTTCGTGCTAGCACAACCATCGTCGAATGTGCCAGATGGATTCTGGCGCAAAAAAAATTGCCTGGTACGTCACAGTCAACCAAAAGAGGTTCGTCTACCCAATTTCATTCGCAAGGATTCAACCCCTGGTATGGTTGCCAACCACTACCCAACGGTGCCGTCGTCAGGGTCATATCGCCTGGAGCCCGATAGTATCAGGAAATCACCTCTTACAACAAACTGATCATCTTGAGATTCGAACCCTGATCATATGGTCGGGATCATAGCGTACTAACCACTCGGCCATTCACCCACTTTTATAAGTAATAATTAATTAATTGGATTTTTTTTAATCAGTTCACCCCAAGCAAGGTGATAATGTCACTAAGACGTAAAGGAATTACTGAGAGTGAAACAGAATGAGAAGACATAATGAGAAGAAAAGACAATAAAAGAACAGGTGTCAGGACAGCAGAAGATGGTGATTCACGTTGCATTTGATTTATTGAAGATCGTAGTTGCCATGGAATCAAGAAATCGAAAGGGAGTTCGACAGGCGAGAAGTGCGAGAAAATATTCTATTAGAATTAGATTTACAGTTGCATATAGCTAATTCAACAGTAAAACTATGAGACCTAATTGCCAATCTAGTAGTACGCTTAAATTCATGAGACCAAGGCACCAAG